TATAATGCTCGAAAATAAATTTATACATATGTATGCATCCCATTGTAAGTCTCATGAAGACTCACCTGGGTGGATATATAGGAATCAAACTGCTCTACTTCGCGCCGAAGAGAAGAACTGAAAACTAATAAACAAGCGTATAGATTGACTACCGATAGCTCTTGCCTCTTGACCAAATGTCTACACATTTCATACCATAATATCTCATAACGTCTTAAATTCTCAAAAAGTCAATGAAAGTCAACTATTGTCATTCTGACCCAACCTAAAGTCAAACTTCGTATCCGAGCATCTTAATATGCCTCAAACAACTCTATTTGACACATCATTAAAATCCACATAGGTCAAACATGTCAAAAGTCAACCCTTGGTCAACTCGGTCAACCCCGACTAACTTTAGTCAAACCCCATGACTAAAACTCAACAACGACTTAAAATATCAAAACAAACATTTTATGATCTTATAAATCAAACTCTCTAATTTAAAGCGTCTCTATAATTGATTAACTCGGAAATACGACACTTTAATCTCAAAATTAAATCATCAAAATAATTTAAGAAACCTCTCGGTACTATGTTTGATAACAACTTTTAACGTCGATTTAACCTTTTAACTACTAAATGAGACCTATGTTTCATATTAAGATGTCTTAGACAACTGATAAAATCAAATTCCGACAACTAAGAGAACAATTATTAAATTACTAATCAATTTAATAAACCACTTAGGAAAAGATTAATTAATCACTATTAATTCTCTAAAATAAATTAATATGTTAGTTAAATAACATGCTATTTAAAAAAAAATTAAATTAATTAAACAATATAATTTATACAATATAATAAAATGGAATAATATAATAATTGGTTAAATTTGACATGGTTAAATTAAATATCCAAATACACCCGAGATGTATATGGACTAAATCTTAAGCCCAAAAAATAAAATAAACCCACAATAAAAGTAAGGCCCAAAAAAACAGCCCAAATGGCCTGCATCAAGCCCACAATCTCCCAACAGCGCTGGCGACCGGAAAACGGTCCCTTGCCTTCGATTCTTCATCGTTTTCGATGATTCTTTTTCTTAAAACTCTAGAAAATGATTTTCCTTAACCATAGGAACAAAAATCAACGAAAACCATCAAGTATTGAGTCTCATACGTTCGTTTAAAGTTATGGTCTTAAAACTACTCGAAAATCAGTAAAAAACTCAAAATCGAACATTCAAAACTAAAATATGAGGCATAAGGCTACTAAAGTTTCATAGAGGACCTAAAAACGAAGCCATCCATATAAAGAACTCAAAATTTGGTTGAGTATTTTACCTCCAATAGTCAATAAACGGAGCTTTTCGAACCCGAACTTCAACCTCCGATTTCTCTTTCGAATAGTCAATGAAAGCTTCAAAAGAGAGGTCGTTTTCGCGTTTCTGAATTTGCAGATCTGATGTATATTTACAAAACATGTTCTTCTGGTTTAGACCTGTTAACATCTGACTCAACCCCTTAACTTTCATAAAAATGCATTTGGCCCCCTGGCTCTATTACTTTTGACATCTTTACACATTTCACCCCTAATATGACATTTTCCTTCATTTTTAATCTAATTTTCAAATATGTTTATATTTTTTTTCCCAATAAAACAAAACTTATTTTATTTTATTTTCCTTATTCTTTTTGCTTTCTAATTTATTTATTTACCTCATTTTGGGGTGTCACACTTACAGCCATTGTTTTTATCCGTCATACCTAATACTAAAGATCAAATTGTACCATTAAAATTAATAACAACAAAGATCAAATTGTACCATTAAAATTAATAATGATAAAGATGAAACTGTACTATTACAAACCATAAAAATTAAATTATACTATTACAAACCATAAAAATTAAATTATACTATTACAAACCATAAAAATTAAATTATACTATTACAAACCATAAAAATTAAATAGAAGCATTCTAATCATTAAACATATTTTGGGCCAAATTATTTCTAAATTCAGTCCATTCGGTAGAAGCACCTAAGGAAGTGATATTATTCTCATCTTGGTGTTCAGTGTCTTCGGTTTCATTCAAGCAAGATATGTTGTCAAACCAATCAATTGGCATTTATTGTCTTATAAAATTGTGAAGAATACAATATACCATTATGACCTTAACTTTCAGTTCAACAGGGTAGTACAAATTATCTTTTAAAATTCTCCACCTTGCTTTCAAAATACCGAAGCATCGTTCTATAACATTCTTTGGAAAAGAATGTCTCATGTTGAAACATTCTTTTCGCGTAGTTGATCGGTGTTCATCATGCCACTGATTTAAATGATACATTTGATCTCTATAAGGGGTAAGAAAACCCTCTCCATTTGTATACCCACCATCTACCAAGTAATAATACGGCATTGGCACCTTCAACCCATGGGGCCTAAGAAGAGCATCTCGAAGGACTCTACTATCAGCCGTTGACCCTTCCCATCCTACCAAGACATAGATAAACTGCATATTTTGTGAACACACCCCTAATACGTTTCTGACAATATCATTCTTTCGTGTTCTGTATCTAGGATTGTCTTCGAGTGACACTAGGCACTTTATGTATGTTCCATCTAAAACACCTAGACAATTCTAAAACCAAGAAAAAAACAGTTACTATACATATTTAATTTACTATGTGAACACCAAAAAAGTTTTAGTTTTATATACCTTAAGCCATTTCCATCTTCGATCAATAGAGTCCTTAAGAACAGGTTAAGTAAATGTGAATGCAATCTATTAATCGTGTTGCAAACTCGAGTAAACAGTCTACTGATTAATTCTCCCGAATGATGAAAACGATATGCGACAACCCTATTCTTAACATTGTGAGCAACCATGTGAAGGGAAATGGCAACTTGTTCATCGATATCCATATTCCTAGTTGCTCCTAATCCTCCTAACCTTTTATGAATATCACATAACTTCTTGAAACACCTTCTACCCATCCTAAGTTGTGATATGCACATGGTGTCGCTATTATACCTATGCAATATTGTAGATCGATCCATATTTGAACACAAATATTGAATACGGGGTCTATCCCTTCTATGTTTGGCTACTAAACAACAAACTATAATGAAAAACCAAGTAATAGTGCTCTTAGCTTCTTCCAAAAACAATTGCAGAATCATACGTTTGCATGCTGTGAGACTAATTCGGGTCATTTCCTATTCATATACCGTATTAGGAATATGTAATTACAACTTTTGATGAAAGGGTAATTCATTTAGCAAAAACATCCATTTAACAACTTGTTAAAGCCAAAACAGATTTGTTGATGAAAGGTTAATTCATATAGCATGAAACAGATTGTATACAAAACAAATTTGTAACCAAAACAGATTTGTTGAGATAGATGCTTTATTCAATTTGAGTCCTTAACTTGATAGAGTTGGATTATAAAAGAGGCAACAATAGCATCAAGCACCTAAATGATCCAAAGTACCATATTGCAATTACCATCAAGGACAAGAGAAAATGCAACAATAACATCAAATCCACCAGAGTTACTATAACTTTTTTGTTTCGTTTATGTTCTTATATGTGTCTGCAAGGCAATCTAAGTTGCATACAAGCTGTAATCAAATTCATATTCACCGTCATGGCATGGAGGTGATTTTTGATGTAACCGCTTTTCGCCATTGTTCTTATTATTACTTCAATCATTACGAATTGAGGGGATATTTGTGGATGCTTATAATTGTCACTAGTTTTGTAATGATATTGGATTCGGTAGGAATTGGGTTTTTTTGGTTTTGATGGGTTCTAAGCAGTGGCTACAACCAACTCCAGCCTATCATCCATTGGAGACTTATTGGGACACAGAAGACGACGCTCCTAGTCGTCGTTGCAGTCACACTCTCACCGTCATTGCACAAACGAAATTAGATGATAGTAGATATATCCAATAATTCAAATAGAAATCGAAGCTAAATCGAACAACAAACAAAAGACGAGTTGGAGAAGACGAAATCAAACATAAATCAAATAGAAACCGAACCAAAATCGAATCAATAAACAGAGAAGACGAGATGGAGAAGACGAAATCGAACCGATGGTGTGACAATGGAGAAGAGGAGATGAAGACGCTGGTGTGGCAATGGAGAAGAGGAGATGAAGACGTTGGTGTGGCAATGGAGAAGACGAGATGAAGACGATGGAGGGCGTCGACTGTGATTTGTGAAATAGATTAGGGTATATTTGGGGTTAGAGGGTATTTTTGGAATTATAAAAATGTTAAATTATATTCCTTTAAAGTACCACATATAACTCATGGAATGTCAAAATCTTTCGTTCATGGAATTTAGATATTCCTTCTGGTAAAAAAAACGAACCAAACAACAGAATGAAATGTGGTCAAAGAAATTCAACATTTCAATTCCATTAGATTTCTTCACAAATATATGAACAAAACACCACCTTAGTTTTCTTATGCAGTTAGTTACACGAACTTAAATGAGGGTTTAATAAGTTATACTTATGCGCAATTTATTTATAATATTTAAGTAATATGAATCAATAAACAATAATTTATACATAAAAAATAGTTTTAAAAAGTTTTTTTAAATATTTTATAATATAGTATAAATAATCATAAAAAAAAAGCAAAAAAGAACCGGTCTGAATCGCAAAATATAGCAAACCGGGGTCAGACTAAACCGGTCCAAAGACAAGCATCCTTACATGGACCTGTAGTCCAAAGTATATTGGTCGTTGTTAAAAGTGGGACCCACGAATTTCATTTTTATGAATAAAAAGTTGTAAAGCGATAAAACTACTCAACCCACTTCACCACCCTGTCCCCCCCAGTTGCCGGTCACCCCCCCCCCCCTCCTCCTCGGACCGGTCCGCCTCCGCACGTGCCAAACCAACCCCCCACGTGCCACACACCAAAACCTCTGTTTGTGCGTGTGTGGTGGTGCAACAAATAAAAGCCAGAGAGAGAGAGAGGAAGATTTACAGCCATTTCTTCTTCTTCTTCTTCTTTGGTCTTCTTGGTTTTATTGAGCGCAACACACACACGCATATGCGGATCAGGAAGCGTTTCTTGTCTCTTTCCGCAGCTGCTGCTGTGTCTGGATCGTTGGATCCTCACGGCGGAGACCACCATCACTACCACCATCCACCGCTACTGCTGGTGCAACATCAACAAGTGCACCCAAATGGGAATCTACATGTTCTTTATGATGATACCCAGTCCCAGCCTTCCGATCATCCACCAAATCATTGTCGCTTCCCTCTTCCGCCGCGCTCCTCCGATCACACCATTCAGATCGGAGTTGAACCGTCCACTTTGGTTTCCTCCGGTGCCGGCAGGAAGGAAAAAGAGGCTATCGCTTTTACTCATAAGGTACTTCATTTTCACAAATAGGAACTGCACCATAACTGCTCAATACGTACATATAATTGTGTGTATATGAATATCTATATATATACACAGATCTTGTATCTATATATCTTGATTTTTGATTTTCTTTTTAATCTTGGAGGAGATGGAATCTGAGAGCAAGATAGAAGTAATCAAGACTCATGATGCTGGCAGGTAAGAGATAACAAGACCCCAACTCCCCCCCCCCCCCTCCATTTTTTCTTCTTCCTCCATGGATGATGTTCACCTGAAAACAGATTGTAAATCCTTTTAAGAACAAACCCATAAATATTTTACACCAAGAAGCAAAAAAATTGATATTTAATTTATTTAATAAACCGAAAAAAATAGAAAGAAAAATAATTGCTGGAAGTGCAAAAACACTGTAGAATGGTGTTTTTATATCAGGTTAGAGAGCCAACCATATGTACCATCCTAATCCTAAAAATTGCACTCATGTGGTGCATGTTAGCATGAAAGCTGGTCCCCAGCTACAATGTTCATCCATCTTTGCACTACTACTGCTCTTATCTTATTTATCTTTTCTTTGTTCTCACTTTTATTTTAGCAATCCAAATAACCACACACACACACACACACACACAACAGTTTCTTGTTTTGAATTGTACTGGATCTTTTTCTTCTTGTTCTTGCTTGTTTCTAGGAAAGAAAGCATCTTGTGTCCAGAAGCAAGCAGTCGTGCCAGTACTCCTTCACCACCAACAACTGCAAGTCTTGGTATGTCCACTGTGTGTGTGTGTGTTTGGTTGTTTTTGCGTGTGTGATTCAGTTGTTTTGTATCTATAGTGTTGAAAGGATGGCTTGAAGGAGATAGGCTGATTCCAATAAAGAAGAGAAGAGGGAGCTTTGGGAAAAAAGTGAACCATGATGTTGAGGAAGATCATGAAATCGTTGAGGAAACAATGAATCCAAAGACAACGAAGAACGATAAATGTGTTGCAAAACCGGAGGTGAGTGCAACTTGTCCAAAGAAGAAGAACAAGAATGGGAAGAGAGGGAATGTGATAATGGAAGGATCAAGGTGTAGTCGAGTAAACGGAAGGGGATGGAGGTGCTGCCAACAAACCCTTGTTGGATACTCGTTATGTGAGCATCATTTAGGCAAAGGAAGACTTAGAAGCATGACCAGTGTTCGTGGCCGGGCACAAAAGGTTGCACTGAAAGAACAAGTGATCACTAAAGAAAGGCAAGATAAAGAAGTTGAAATGATATCGACAGACCATCACGAGCTTGAAGATGATGATGATGAGGAAGAACTGAAAGGATGGGAGGAGGAATCAAAGTCATCTGTGGAGGGAATGAAGATATTCAGTAAAAAGAAGAAGCTTGGGGTGGTGAAGGCTAGATCTTTGAGCAGCTTGCTGAGCCAAATGGGCAGTTGATGCATGGAGTCTTGAACTGGTTGGTAGCTTACCAATTTGAACAGAAGGAAAGTGATGATAGCATGCATGTTCAGTTGCAATCCAAGAAACAAGTGTACATTTTTGTTTAGAGGTTGGTATTCATATATATGTATAGATCTACTAGTGCAACTCCTCTACTCGCTGCTGGTTCCAAATCTCTTGTTCTTGGATTATGTCATCTCTGACTTATGATCCAGAAGTTCTTGGATAGAGTAATGTAATGGATAAGTCGATCTCTTTAGTTAAGTTACAATTATTTGGGTAGGAATCTTGTGTTTCGAATGGAACATTATTATCCTCAAATACGTCCATGGCCATGAGAGTAGATCGGTCCACGGAAACGTCCTTCAGTCTCCAAACCAATGGCACCATTCCTGCACCCAATGACTTAACTAGTCACTACTCCCTGTGGGGCTAGGTGCCATGGTTCGTGGTCTATTTTAGAGAAAGAAACATGAAGTGCTGCAAATAAGAATCATCTTTATGAATTATGATGTACAGCTATAGCTAGATATGGTAATTGGTACATTATATTCCTCGGTTACTTCATCCAGTAGAAAAATGGTACTGCCAGTTGGTACGATATATAATATAGTATGCCATAGATAGGGTATTCATGCATTATATATGTAAAACATAAAAAGTTGTGTTGTATACATAAGTTCTTTGCTATCAACTAACCTAGAGAGAACTTGTGTTAATATATACATATATATATATATATATATATATGCTTGCTATATATGATCATGAAAAATACTAAATCTTTTACGAGCGAGTTCTTACACCAAGACCCTAGTTCGTTTCGAGTGAGAGCTGCAAAGGGTGTTTAGTTTGGTTTATATATGTAGATATAGTACATTGGAATTAATTAGTTGTTGTGAATAGGGATGATAGGTTTTTGCGGTTCTTAAGATTTATAGAAGCCTAGGAATGAATGATACATGCCATGCTAAATGAAGGACAATGAGGAAAGCCATATGAGAAACCTCGGGGTTTTAACATGCAGTGGCTTGGACCTTCGACCGTGATTAATGGTGTTAGACTTTCAAATTATAAATCATTTCCCAAAATAGTCTACAATCGCCTGCCAACAACTACTTTACAACTAATTATATATATATATATATATATATATATATATATATATATAGGGGAACGATCAAATGCAAACCACTCAATTTGTACAAACCGTGCAAACTTCATTTAATCAATCACAATTTTTCATTTTGTTTATTTTTTTTGTAATTATGAGAAGTTAATTAATCATTTTTATTGTGGAGGATGAATCATAGATATTATCATCTTCATTATTTTAATTTTAGAGAAATACATGAAACAATTTCATTAATTTTAGAGAAATACATGAAACAGTTTCATTAAATATTATATGAAACAATTTCACAACCATATATGAAACAACTTCATCAAAAAAAAGTATTATATGAAACAATTTCACAACCATATATGAAACAACTTCATCAAAAAAAAGTATTATATGAAACAATTTCACAAGATTAAACAATTTCATTAAAAAATTTCATAAGATTAAACAATGAAATCGACGGATTAAGGTGGTTTGCACGGTTTACACAAATGAGGACGGTTTTTATTTGATCACTCCTCTCTCTCTCTCTCTCTCTCTCTCTCTATATATATATATATATATATAGGGTTGGGTTCACATGAGACCAGCCTGTTTTCGTGAGACCCGTGAGACCACATTTTTACACTTGAAACTTCACTGTGAAGGTTTTTAAAAAAGTCGAACCTTCACAACAAAAACACTGTGAAGGTTACCTTCACAGCATTTTGCTGTGAAGTTTCAAATGTAAAAAAATGTTTTCACGAGTCTCATGAAAACAGGCTGGTCTCACGTGATCCCGAGTATATATATATATATATATATATAGAGAGAGAGAGAGAGAGAGAGAGAGAGAGAGTGGGGGGGGGATGTTTTATTAACCAAAGAATGATATTAACTTTGTGAATTTATTCAACTAATAAGATTCATGGTTACTTTAAATGTTAGATTCAATGACGAAGGTTAAATAGGTAATTTTTAGTTGTAAGTTACTTTCTTGTGTTAAATAAGATGTTACAAAATAATAATTGCATGTTTTTAGGATCATAACTATATTATTGTTTTAAAGATTCTAGAATGATTATGCTAAAATTAATTTGAATAATGGATTATTAAAGTGAACATATGTTATAACCGGTTATTAATTGGTTTGGAAGTTTAGGGTTGTTTTTAAATTGGTTTGAAAGTTGAGGGGTGTATTTTAGAGAATTGGTTTAAATGTAATTCTAAAAATTTAAAATCTTCCAAGGGCTCATGTGTGTGTTTTATATATATTAGAAGGGTACTCGTACAATGCAATGAGATATATCTTGATTTTAATGTTTCGTTTTTTTTAGTCTATGTTATAATATGATTTTACGTGGTTTTGAGAAAGTGATAACATTTTTATTTTTTAATAAAATATTAATATGAAGATATCATAAAAAAAATGGAAAAAATATTGATATTAGTATAAACTAACTATTTAAAATTTCTCCTTTTTTTTTCTTTAATTCATTTTTTATTTTTAGTTTAATAATATAAGTTTTTACAAGATAATAATTAAGTATTTTGTTAGAACTCAATTATTATTCTAATTATATTTTAGATTTTTTATATTTAAAATGAGATATTTATCCTCTATTTGATTATGTTTATCTGCAGTTAGTTACACGAATTCAAACATGAAACTTTAATAAGTTGTACTTATGCTTATTTGTAATCTTGAATTTTAAGTAATATGCGTCAATAAACAGTACTTCATGCATAAAAAATGGTTTTTAAGAGTTTTTGTCAAATGCTTTATAATATAATATAGATATATACACACACACACTAGAAGAATACTCGCGCAATATAGCGTATATAAATCTCGATTTTAATGTTTTACTTTATTATGTCTCCATCAATATTATAATACGATTTTATGTAATACTGGAAAAACGAAAATATTTTTATTTTTTTAAATAAAATATAAATTTGAAGATATGTTAGAATTTTGAAAAGAAATGTATCGATTTTAATATCAAATTAAATATTTAAAAGTTTATGTTTTTTTTTGTGTACTTTCTATAATTCAATTGTTTATTATAATTTAATTTAGAGTTAATAGAGAAGTCATTTATTTTTGGTTTAATAATATAATTTTTTTTATAAAGATAATAATTAGTATTTTGTTAGAATTCAATGTGATTATCTTAAATATATTTTAGATTTTTTATATTTAAAATGAGATACCTATCTAATATTTGATTATGTTTATATGCAGTTAGTTACACAAATTTAAACATGAAGCTCTAAAAAGTTGTACATACGCACAATTTACTGTAATCTTGGATTTTAAGTAATATGCATCAATAAACAGTACTTAATGCATAAAAAATGGTTTTTAAGAGCTTTTGTCAAATGCTTTATAATATAGTATATATGTATATCTTCTTTTCTTTCTCTCTTTTGTTATTTGCAAGGATAAAAAGAAGAAAGAAAAGATATTTTTGGTCTCTGGGTTAAAACAGAAAGGAAGAAGAAGAAGAAAGTTTGCGTGTTCAATATCTGATTTTGTTGGTAGTTTAAAGGATACCATCTAATTGTGATTAAGGTGAGTTTTTATTTCAAAAAGCTTAAATTGAAATGCTTTCGATAAGAAACCGGCTGGGTTTCGAATTTGGGTGTTCTCGGATATAACTATTTGCTATTTGTTAGCATCATAATTGAATTTTTGATATTGTATTATTAATTGTGGGAATGTAATCGGTTCATTGAAATATCATCAGGAGATGTGTAAAAATGAGATAAGGGTGGCATAATCAACAAAAAAAGGTGTAAAAATGGGATAAGGGTTGCATAATCGACAAGAGAGGTGTAAAATGGGATAATAATGACATGATCGATATAAAAGGTGTAAATTGGATATAAGGATGACATAATCTGGAGAGGTGTAAATGATTGTGGATGGCATTCTCAATGGTTTGGTTTAAAGATGAAATTTGATCATATGAGTTTGATGTTATCGCGTCCTTTTGATGCTACGACTTGAGGTTGTCGCACTAGCTTGGTGCGATAAGTTGGGTTATCGCATCAGTGTGTCGCAAAAAGTAGTTGTTATTGCAACAGTGTGATGTAACGAGTTGGGTTGTCGTATTTGGCTACAAGTTGAAGTTATCGCATCCTTGTGATGCGATGAACCACGGTTGTCACATCCGTGTGATGCAATGAGTTTGGTTGTCGCATTCTTGTGGTGCGATAAGTTGAATTGTCATAATGTCATACCCTTGTGGTGTGATAAACATGAAATAATCACACAATATGGTGTGCAACAACTATTGTTAATATTTTGACTTTAAAGTTTCATGTTCCAAAATTCGTTTGGTGATTTTCACCATGTAAAGCTAACAAAGAACTACTCATTAGAACTTATGGTCTAACCCTCATTTTGTTTTAAAAATATGCATTTCAGGACAGGTACATCCTGACGGAAAAGGAAAGGGGAAGATGTTTATCGGAAGTGTTATAGTTTTAAAAATATGTTATAAAATCATATTCATAAAAAAAATATCCGTTCATCATTTATGAATCTTTTTTAGTTTCACGAATGATTTTTTATGAATATTTTTATTCGTGAATAGTGATCTTTTGTAATCATGTTTAATTTATGATATTATAATTTTTAGTAAACATATTATAATTTTTAGCAAACATATTTAATTAAATTTAAAATGTTTAAACGATAAAAATATTCATTTTGTGGAACCAACTTGTAAAATAATTATAGAAAAATAACTAAAATTCGATTTTTTCCAAAAATTAATGCAATAAAATCTATTTTTCATTTCAAATCTCGTTTTTTTTTAATTCAGATATCAAATTGATAATTTAAAAAAAAAATCCAATTTACCATATTAAAAATTGTTTTTTACTAATGCAAAAAAAAATCAATTTAATAGAAAAAAATTAATTGATGCAATAAAAAATAAATATTAAATATCACATTCAAGATTTTATATCTAACCAATGCGTATCAATTAATTTTTTCTATTAAATTGATTTTTTTGCATTGGTAAAAAACAATTTTTATTGTGGTAATTTGGATTTTTTTTAAATATTCAATTCGATATTTAAATTAAAAAAAAAACGAGATTTGAAATGAAAAATAGATTTTATTAGATTAATTTTTGGAAAAAAC